ACAGACAGGCCTTCGAGAAAGTGCAGCCAGAGTGCTCCTTAGAGGCAAGGATGCCAGAGCTCCGTCTCACACACATGGGCATGTGGCCAGGAGAAGCTATTCCTTGGAGAGGGACATCATGCTTGGAAAGGTGAAGGGTTAGCGAAGGAGAGGAGACCATTAACACGATGAATTGACACAGTGACTGCTGCAATGGGCTCAAGTGTGTTGGAGAGGCGGATGGCACAGGTTAAGATGGGGTTCACAGGGTCACTCTGAGTCATACACAACTCAACAGCACTTAACAACAAAACCCAACAATCTATGCCGCCCTGGGGTGTTAAGCATTGTCATGCTAATCTGAAGATCAGTGGTTCAAACTCACCAGCCACCAGCAGGAGACAGACATAGCAGTCTTCCTGTCAAAATTCAGTGTCACAGTCACACCCAGACCACCACAGCCCGAGGGACTGATAGGGGATGGTGGACATGATAACCACGCCACACAGCAATGACCACGTGGGATCAAACGCCTGCTCGCGCTTTTTTCCTTTTGCATTTTGCTGGATTCTGCACCTGAAGTGTCTGCGTGTGACTATCGGACACTGTTGGCATCCACAGTCTCCTCTATTCCCACCGTATAGTAAGGCCATCAGCAAGGTCGGAGCACCTGTCTGCTCCTTCCTGCCCCCTGGTCTGAGCAGATGGCTTTCCTCTGCTAGCATGCCACTGTGGCCACTGGGGGCTGCTCGTTGGGCCTGGCACTGACCAGGTGCGTCGGGCAAGACCACTTGGTGGGTGAGGCTGGGTCAGTCCAGTGGCCTCCACACTGCAGCTCAGTGAACTTCTTTCCTGATGTTGGTGACTGGCAGTGGGCAATTCCATAAATTCATTAGCTCTTGCAAGTAGTGATGGGATGGGATGGGATGGGATGGGATGGGATGGGATGGGATGGGATGGGATGGGATGGGATGGGATGGGGTGGGATGGTTCTTCAGAAAAGGACAGCTCTCTCAATGTAAAGTTACCCAGCCCTCCCCACTTGAGCACTGTATTTTCACAGGTAACAGTCCATACATAGAACACGCGCATGTAAGCACATAACATCCGTGGTATGACCCGCCATGGAGTGGATGCCAATCCTTGGCGATCATTCATCCGTTTCTACAGCAGTAAATCTTAATTAGAGCAGACTGCCCAAGGGGCCCTGGCCCTATGAGAGGCAGTGACCACTGCACCCAGCTACTGCAGGCCACAGCCCTGCTGTCCTCCACACTGGCCAGTGGACATGGGGTCGACAGGGTGAGGTTTTCCTGTGGTTTCCTGCTCAAGGTCCTGCCTCCACCCTCCCCTCTGTGTGTGCGGGTAAAACACTCACATCCAGGACCGAGTCAAGCCTGGGGTGGAGACCACCAACACTGAGCTGGGGCAGGGGCTAAGGAGGAGTGTGTGGGTGTTCAGGCTTGGCCGGGGAGGACGTCGTGAGGTCCTGCTCCATGTTCTCCCCTTTCCACTCCTCACCATGGCAATATCTGACACGCGCACGGCCATCCCTGCGACAAGCGTGTCACACACACAGACAGCACACACAAGTCCATTAGGATCTGAGTGGACGTTTACAGCTGACCTTGTTGTTCACTCAATAATTCACAGACATTGTTCTAGAACAGTAATCATCATCCCCACTCCCTCTCTGTGTGTCACATTTCCATTCTTCCTTCTGTCCTGCCCCGGCCTGCCTTCCAAGCTCCATCCCCAAGTAAATGCTGCCCTGTGAGCTCATGGCTGATTGGAGTCTGTCACCTTTTAAAATTCCCTCCTGCGGTCTGCTCCCTACACTGCCAGCTCCTACGAATCTGTCACCTGCATCTTCTCACCTCTTTCTCCCCAAGGAAAGACACGCTGCTTTGCTGCAGTGCAGCATGGAGGAAGGGAACCGAGAAGCGCTGAGGAAATGCTGCCGGCGTCCACGCCTCTGCCCCATCTCATCCTGCTCAGGTTAAAAGAGTCTAAGGATGATGCAGAGAATCACAAACCCCACAGACCCCAGGACAGCACAGCCTGAGACCCCACGATCCAGACCCCAGACCCCAACACTGCCTAGTCCAGACCTCACCATCCAGACCACAGAGCACAGGACAGCACAGCCTGAGACCCCACGATCCAGACCCCAGACCCCAACACTGCCTAGTCCAGACCTCACCATCCAGACCACAGAGCACAGGACAGCACAACCAGAGACCTGCCATCCAGACCATGGCTCCAACACTATCTAGTCCAAGACCCCATCATCCAGATCACAGACCCCAGGGCAGCACAGGCTGGGATACCACGATTCAGACCACAAACCTGAACACTGCCCAGTCCAGACCTCATAATCCAAACCACAGAGCCCAGGACAGCACAGCCAGAGACCCTGCCATCCCCAACACGGTCTAGTCCAAGACCCCATCATCCAGACCACAGCCCCAAGGGCTGCACCAGGAACCACAGACAGGAAGGAGTTTGCTTTGTTTCCTCAGGATTCTCAAAGCCACCTCCTCCCCCCACTCCGTGTGCCACGTCACCCCACCCCAAGACTTTAAACTTCTCCTTTTCAACCATTAGGAAATCACCTCAGAGAGGAGACAGCCAAGGTCAGGGCCAGCATGAAGGTCAGCTCTCCATCCTGCCCAGGGGACATCAGGTACCTAAGTCCCATGCACACACAACCCACCCCACCCCACCTCCCTCAGCCCTGGGTCTGATGTTTCGGGTGAAGGATCTTGGCTGAGGTTGACCCCTCCCCTGCCCTGCCCAAGGGTCAAGACAACAGAGGTGGTTCCACTGTCCCCTTTTTTAAAAAAATATTTTTATTTTTATTATTATTTTAAGGAAAATTTACATTAAAGTTAGATTTTCATTCATTCATTCATTCATTGTTGCACTTTAAACCTGGTCTCCCTCCCTTCCCCCTCCCCCAGTTCACTTGTGGTTTATTTAATATTCATTCATTGTTGTAACAATTACCTCTCCTCCCCCCAGTCCTCTTATTCTAGGTTGTTGTCTTCCGTATAATGTCTAATTACTTCGCTCTTTTCAGGGTAATTCAGCCAACCCAGAACCCCCTCCCTTCTCAGAGTTCACTCTGTCAGTCCAGGACCCCCTCCACACTTCTCAGGATGACTCCATCAGCCCGGGACCCCCTCCACACTTCTCAGGATGACTCCATCAGCCCGGGACCCCCTCCACAC